CTTTATTAAATATAAAAATTGGACTCTAAGTCGTTCTAAATTCACACTAATATTATAGCAATATATTCCCGTATTAAGCTTTCCATTTTTAATCATTGAAGTTATTTTAAGGTTATTTAATTTTGTTACAAATTCCATATTTTAATACTAGAAATGAACTTTATTATATTTAATACTAGAAACGAACTTTTAACAAATTTCATATTCTAATACTAGAAAATATTTATTCTGTTTTCCACCTGATGTACTTTGGCATACATTTAATTTCTAATACACATTTAATTAATAAATTGATAATTATGAGCGTCATCAGAATTTTTATAATTAACAAAAAAAAAAAAAAAAAAAAAAAAAAAAAAATCAATCTTCCTTACATTCATATCCTGGGATTTTCAGTCTCCCTTTTAATCCATTCCTTTTTCACATATTGTTGCACTGTACTCAAGTTTTCATGTATGTAAAATTTATATAATTTTTATTGTATTTATGCCAATTTATATTTAAATGATAATTTTTACAAATTCTTGCTTCATAACTCTAGTTAACAGAAGATGTTTCTAACTCCTTGGCAAAGCTTAATCTTCAGCATGTAGCTTATTTTCTAACCTAGTTTCAGGCTGACTTATTTGTAAAATTAGTTACTTGAAATTATTTGTTAACAAAGTGGTCGCTAAATCGCGCTAATAATATTTCTAACTGTTGTAATTTATAATGCAACGAGTTCATACGATTTATAATATAATTCATTTATAATTTTTTCAGCAGTATTGAAATTAATAGCAGATACTGATAATGTTATACATTTAGATTAGAATGATTTAGTTGCCATTGCCTTCTTCACTCATGCTTTTATGCTACTTCCTAATATTTCATAATGGCATACAGGTAAGATTAACTTATTCATTAAACATGTAAATCTCTAATTCAGCTCACTTTTGTTCTTACGTGTGCTGTATCTTCTATTTTCTTTAATATACTGTTCAGCCTAATTTCAAAAGGTCTTATGATCAAGCGGAAAAGTCACTAAACATTGGTAGTTCGACCCGAGGTTCTAATCCCACTGATCCCCTAACTCTTTCTTTTTTTTTTTGTACTTATTTACTGTGTAAAAATGTATAGTAAAAATTTCAGTTCATGAAGTAAAAATACTTTAAAATTTATCCTTTAAAAATATTGCAAAATTTTTCACCTTAGCGTGTCTTTTTACAAATCCCTCTGATAAGAAAAAATAAGGAAATTAACTTGGTTTCGGTGATTGATACCTCAGTGCAAATTATATGTAACTTTTTCCAAAAGCATAGAGTTTATATGGATATCAATAAATTATGGATTATTTCTCATATAATTTTCTTAACATTTTCATTCCAGAATTTTCCTTTCACACTGTAGTGTTTATGCGTTTTCTATAATAATTTACATTTGTTTATAATTTTACGCGAATGAAAGTGATTATTTAATTTTATAAGCTCTGCTGAAAGATAAACGAGAAAACAAAATTCTATCACTTGCGGTCAAGAGAGTGTTTGATGTAATAATTATTATATATTTTCTTTGATAGTTTTTATTTAATTTCTTTCATTTATGCATTACTACATAGTTCTTTTCAAAAAATATTTTTCTGTGCCGCTTTGTCCGTATTTCAGTTTCAAGGTGCTCCGTGTAGAGTATATAATGCTTAATAAACTTATGATATGAAAGAGATCTAAATTCTCTTCTCATTTCTGCTGTATTTTTTTAAATTTCAACCCCTAAGAAATTTAGTCTAGAAATCTTAAACACTTATTTCTTGCAATAAATTCCAGAAAGGATTAAGCATGACTTAATTCGCAATAATAATAAAAGAAGGCGTTATCTTTGTTGTTGCCGAAGCTTAGTTTCTCTAGATTAGCAACAAATCCACTATTCATTTATAAAAAATATATTTCTTTATTTTTATTTTCCTCTTGGCTACAATTGGCTTCGAAAAATAAAATTGTAACCCTGTGGCCAACGGGGGAAAGAAATTTTGATCGGCGCAGTTGGACTATCTCAGGACGAGGGGGGGATTTTCATCAGCGCAGTTGGAGTACACCCACGGAGCCCTATGGTAGACTGCCTGTAAAGAAGAGCAAAAATAAATAAATAAATAAAATGGCTAGTAAAATAATTAATAATTAAACAGTTAAATAATTAATTATTTAAAATGATTTAAAATTAAGTAATTAATGATTAGAATAATTAAGCAATTAATATCAAAATTTAATAAAACGCAAAGAGATAAATAAAAATATAATAAGTTATTAAATGAATGGTAAATAATTTAAGTATTAAAATAAAGTATTGGACCTTGACTTATTTGGGGTTTCGGCTGGAATTATAATTACACAAAAAGAAATAGCTCAACCGGGCTCCGGTTTAATTTAAGCTCTGAATATAATGTGCTAGTTCAAGGGATGATAGAGATAAAGACCATTCGTTTTTCAGCAGACAATAAAAAACGTTAAAATGTTTAAAGCGTCACTAACGAAAATATAGAGAATGCCATAAAAGGTAAGAGAATATGGAGAAAATTTTAACGGACAACCTGTAGGTATGCAATCAAAATGAGAAAAGTCCACTATTTTCTGACCACTGTCTGCTTTCAATATAATTCTAGTTGTCAAGCAGAATATGGCAAGGGAACAAATTTTCACCGAATCTGAGGGTTAGCTGGAAAAAAAGTAACAAGTTAGAATTTTAACTCCCCCGTCTTTTTTACATCTTTCCAAAACGTCTACAAGATCTTTTCTAGAGACTAGCGTTAGAAAGAAAGACACTAGCGTTAGAAAGAAAAATTTACCCGCTGCCATAAATTCATTGTATTTTCTGGAGAATAAACATTTGACATACGTCAGGGGGCTTCTATTTCTTAAAAGTCTCGACCTCCATCCAAGGATTTGTTTCACAAGGAAAGAGAAGCATGCATTCAGAAGTTAAAATAGATTTTTAATACAATTTTATCTTAAAAAAATAAAATTTTCGAGATCAGATTTCTGCGAAAATTGTTGCTCAGTTACATTAAAGAAGTGCCGGAGCCTTCTTATTTAAGGCTCTGGTGCGCTCCGACTAGAATTAGGATTCGTCCCTAAAACTAAGAAGCACCGGCGCAATTTAAGCTCTGTGTATAGTAAAGCCACTATGCCCGACTTAATGCAAACAAAAGCAGCGTCCCTAGTGGCGCAGTTTGGCAGGTAGGAATTGCAAATCGAAAACGAAAAGAGATAGAGCAAAATTTCCAGTTAGAAAACTTTAGAGCATGAGGAACAACATTTCTTAAATAGTAAAGAAATACTAAGCTAATGTAAGTTTGACACACAGCAGTGAAAACAGCTTTCACTTTAATGATATGTAATATCTTCGCTGATAGATCGCTGATAGATCTTCTGCTTGCCAGTTGCACTCGCAGAGCAAGTGATTTGCACTTGCTCCGCGATTGCAACTGCAAGCAGAAGATCCATGAATCGCATCCTGGCGAGAGACAGTTGATTTATCACGTTCTCTCTTCTCGAAAGTCTTTACAATGCCTTTTGAAATGAAAGTGGGGTAGTCGATATTTCCATCTGGATTTGGTAGATTGATTCTCGTGCCCCTTTGTAGTCGCTTTTTAAAAAGGGGAAAATGTAAGGAATTTTTCCATTCTTCTATCCATGATCGCATAGTGAAAGAGGTTATACATCTAGTTAGCAACTGGAAGATTGACGGTTGTAATGCAGGTGACGGCAGACTTGAATTTTTCGGTACTTACGTACTAACGCAACCACCTTGGAGCAATTTGGTGATTTTTTACAGATTAAAAGAGAAAAGTTATTTATCGGGTACAAGCTGGTGGTTTCGAAAATGTTTTAGAAAGATTCTCAAACTATCGATATTTACTGTAAGTCGGCAGACATTATCAGCATATGAGAAGGAAACCTACTTTAGCAATTAAAACATAAATTATAATTATTAAATGAGTATTACGTGATATATTAAAAATTAAAACACTTACCTACACTTCATCAAATTTTTATGTTATTTTTTTACGCTGTTCCAAGCTTTCGATTCACCAAGCTTCACCATACCTTTATGTAATTTTCTTACGCTTCTCCTTAAGTTCACAGTGACCTGTTTTCGCTTAAAAAATATCAGAGAATTGCAGATATATAGTATTGCGCAGATAGCGGCAATACCGGTTTCTACCAAACGTATCTATCTAGACATTTTGCTACAAAATTCCCTATTTCTGTAGAAATTTTACAACAGTTTCTTCCACTGTTGGCAAATTCCACAAGCGGATATTTTGAAATTAAGTTGATAGCAAAAAATATCACGATTTGTTTATAAAAACCGTTGCAAAAAAACAATAAAAAAGAAGGCATACGAAAATGGCAATGTTGTTAGACAGAATGAATGTTGTTATCAGCATGATTGCCTGAAGAATGATTATGCGCACTGTTGTCAGAGTTTGGCACATTCTGAAAATTTGGTGATTTCTATTAAGGTTGTTGCGATAACACACAAGTATCGAATTTTCATGTTTCCTGCGTCAAAGAATCGTAATGGTCCCTACAACTAATCTGATCTTTAAATGACAGATTTTTTTTTCTCCATGTTTAAACAACAGCGGTTTCTTTAAATTTCAAGACAATGAGAAATTGGTATAAAAGAGGTTGAAAATTCCAGACTACGTGAGGACATTTCATGTTCACATTATTACAACATTTTAATATATTAAAAAATTCTATGTACAAGTGCATATTTTATAGTTATAATTAAGAAAATGTCCTGATTACCTATAATTATGATAACTGTTTTGAAATTTAAAAATAGGAAATATTGTATATTTCTAAAACTGAAACTTTTGCTTGAAATGTAAAATGTATTCCGTACTATTAATCTGAAAGCATATTGCATTTTTGTTGCAACAATAAAAGATACGTGACATTATTCTTTTACACAACTACTGGGAGATGCTTATTTACTTTTTTTTTTTTTTTTTGTAGACGAACCAACAGTGTAAGCCAAATTTACGCTTGAGAGTTGCTATTATTTTTATGCTGGGAAATCTTTTGTTCATTCATCTTCTACAGGTCACTATTTCTGAAAGTTCATCCATGGTAAGTGAATTTTAGTTTCGTTGTTTCAGTGTATGTAAACTTGTGTTAATGTTAAGACAATAAACACTCTTTTTATAACAAAAATTTTTCCGACATTATTGGAACAATCTATGTTAAGCAATAGTGAAAGTATCCATTCATGATCTTGACTACTGCGTAGAAGAGCAGAAATATCCAAAACTGCTTTCCACATACTGTCTTGTATAATTTTACCTGAACAAAAATATAGAATATAGTCATTATACTTAGCAGAAATACAGTCGTAATATACTGTTAACGGGACAATAAATGAGTTCATATGCCAGCCGCATCCACTTCTGCAACAAAGTAATTCTCAAGCTCTCGAATGATTCTCGAAGGTGATTGACAAATTATGATTGTCTTCCCAATTTCACTCAGTCATGTTCAGTCGGGTTTATTGATCTATAACTGAATATATGACTTGGTCAATCCATCTTCATTTTGAAGAAATTCGTCTACTTTTGAACCCTGCATAGAGTTCAAAAGAAGTGCGTTTTGATCCATGGAACTGAGGGTAAACTGCGCCCTTGAAAAGTTGCACATGAGGCTAATATCTTCCCTCTGTACTTTTGAGCAATCATGAAGCTTCTGTGAAACAAATAGAGTGCCACGTGGTCATCCCGTATGATATCTGCAAAGTCATAATGGTCTATTTCTCTATGTAGGAACCCACTAGTTGCCTAGTGGTAAAATCGCTGAACACTAGCAGATTGGGGTTCGATTCCCGGCGAACGGGCTGGCTGCAAGGGCGTTTTCATAATTTCCCCCATGTGTAACGTGTATACCAGCATGTTTCCCTTAGTTCTCCACAAAAGCATCCCTGCCCTTAAGAAGATAGCCCTATAATGTTTTACTGTAATTAAACAAATAAAAACGTGATGTTGAAATAATAAATTTTAAAACAACTTCGTTTCGGATGAAAATACGTTGGGAATCAATGTCTAAGCTAAATTTAGATTCGTCATTGAAGAGTATTTTCACCGACTGATGTTTGATCCACAGCTGATCTTCTGTACATCATTCCAGACGCATTTTCTTGTATGCATGTGATAGTGGAATGTAAACGGTGGGTCTTCTATCAAAAATTCCCATCCCATATTTATCTGCAAGAGACCTATGGCGCCTGACTGAAAGTGCCAGATGCTGATATTCACTGGATATCGTGGATTTTTTTGCTCAGGCTTTCTGACTATGAATCTGATGCCTTGAAACCGTTTTAACAAACCTCAGACGACAACAGGCGAGCTCTCTTTTAGCTTGCACATGAGATTACCTTGGCTTCAAACCGCGAACCATACCGTAGCTGATTCTGTTTTCTAAACATAAGTGCATACTCATTCTACTCACTGCTTATGATATTTAACAAAATTTTAAAACAAATGCTATGGTAACCGCCGATGTATAGGAACGAAGTAAAAACGGAATAATAAACAACCTTTCTTTTGTAGTACCTACTGCTGGTGGTGTTGGTGTATTTAATTATGGCAAAGCACACTAGGGCTATCTGCCTAAGGGGAGGGATGCCTTTCGTGGAGGACTTTCTAAGGGAAACTGGCTCGTATACACGTTACACATGAGGAAAACCACGAAAACGCCCATGCAGCCAGCCCGTTCGCGGGATTCGAACCTCGGACCGAACTACCAGTGTTCAGCGACTTTACCGCTCGGCCGCTGGTGGGCACCTACTGCTGTCAGAGCGCCATTTACGTATACAAATCCGATTACGCATTCGCACCAGAACTAAAGCATTATTATTTGACAATATATTTTTCAGTTTTGATTCAGTACTTTTTCAGAATATATATATATATATTCTGAAAAAATGTGTATAGCCTTTACTAATATTTTCTTCAGAGCTTTGTTTTGTTATTTCTTTCCGTAAAATGCTCCTGGGAATAAAAATGGTGGAAATATTTGATTTTCATATTTGAAAGACCGTTCTCCTTACTTCTAAACACAAATGCATCTGAATTACCGAATATCAACAGGATGAGTGTAAAAGTTTAGCCTTCTAGTTTAACTAATGGCGCTTTTACGTTAGGCGCTTTTACATAGCGGCTTTTTATGTGATGCTGAGACTATGTACCAAGACGACAGTTTATCGCCTAGCAACTAAATCAAACACAGGAACATAGTTAGCCTTGGTTTATTTTACTAGATTACGGCAAAGCACTCGAGAGCTATCTGCCTTAAGGGAGGGATGCCTTCGTGGAGGGACTTTTTAAGGGAAACTGGCTCATATACACGTTACACATGGGGAAAACCACAAAAACACCCATGCAGCCAGCCCGTTCGCGGGATTCGAACCTCGGACCGAACTACCAGTGTTCAGCGACGTTACCGCTCGGCCGCTGGTGGGCCCCATAGTTAGCCTTGAATTTGGCGGAACACCCATTGTTAAAACGGATTTTCAAAACAGGCTAATTTTTCCTAATAGAATATCTGATATAAATTCAAACCTTTGCAAAAACATAAATATTTAATTGTAATTAAAATTAATTGACTAAATTTAGTTTAAATTAAATTAAATCTACTTAAAATTTTTAAATTTTACGTTTTAGTGCATTGTAATATGTAAAATTAATCAAAATCAATTTTTATATAACTGTTTCCATTATATATATCTGTATTTCTACATTTTAATTTCAATTTTTTTTCAAGTTTAATCTTACGTTCTGTGAAAAAATGTACTGAATCATTTACTTTATTCAAATTTGGGATTTTTTTCATTTGGGTGTGATTATTATTTTTCACTACTGGATTGCTTCTTCGTCCTCTGACTAAGTTTTAAATTTGTGTTCTCGGTTTATTTATTACTATTTTTATTTTGAATTTTTGTTTTTCTACTTTTTTTTCAATTTTAAATTCAATAACAAATATCTAATTAAATTCATTTGCTTGATCTGACATTGCAAGTTTTACGCTGCGTCGAGTAGGACTTCAATTTTTCAGATGAACTGTTATAATTAAATATTTAAGAATAATTCATCAGCTGATTTTTGGATGCAGAAACGCAGTGGTTTTCAAGTCGAAGGGGGACTGCAGTTGAGTCTGATGTATCCTCCTCTTAATAACGTTATATTAGATTTGGTTGAATTCTTCTTCTTTTGTATTTTTTCTGGTTTTGGTATACATCTTCAGGTTTTTATGATTTTTAGGTTTCATTTTGACATTCCTTTCATTCTTATTTTGTATATTTATAGGATATTTGGAAAATTATTGGTATTAAATTTCACTTTGGGTCTTTGTGTAAAATAGGTATATATATGTGGGATGGCATCGTTCATTATAATCGGATGACGCGACAAGCTGTGAAAATAAATCTTTTACTTTTCCGATGATAGAAGTCAGACGATTAAGACAGACGAAGTCAGATGATAGAAGATTCCGCCATTAAGACGATGACGCGATTCAAAGATGTTTACTTATAAAATACGATTCCTTTTCTTCATTTATAAATAATCTCATCTATTTCCTTCTACGTATGTAATTACTTTGTAGTTCGTAGCAACTATTCATGTTTCATTAAATATTCAAGTTTTACGTAAATCGGACTAGTTTATTAGCCCTTAGACAGCCACCATCGAAAGTAAGTTTACGAACATCATATTCCTAGACAGTAAGTACCGATTCTACATATATATATATATATAGAGAGAGAGAGAGAGATTTAAAGATTACTTAAAGATTAAATTAAAGTTAAAAGTAAATTGGAGTCAAAGCAAAGTTATTCCTCAACAATATTATTATTAGCAATGTTGTATAAGAGGTTTAACACAAAATCCAAACATATCAAAATTAAAATAAGAATTCGTAGCAGTACAAATTCTAAAAATAAAAATGAAAATGCAAAAGGGAAAAAATACAAGACAATAAAATTATAAAAATAATAATTAATCTCCTTTTACTGAAACTCCTATTCAGAATTCCTCAGGGGAAAATGAATTAAAGCTTCACAAAAGTCGATCAATATGTTTCGAAAATGTGTTTCGTTCTCCTGGTTCATTTGAGATCAAAAGCCGAAAAAAGAATCTATTACATTTTCGTTTAAGACACTAAAATTCATAAAACCGAAAACCCGAATCTCAAATCTACCAGGATTTTCCGTATATGCCTTCGAAAAACTTGGTAAAACGAATAAAAACATAACATTGACTACCCCAAAAAACTTTACATTATGTAAAATATCCATTAAATATTCAAGTTTTACATAAATCGGACTAGATTACTCAAGTTTTACATAAATCGGACTAGATTACAAAAATCAAATTGGTCTAAAATCATGATATGAAAATCCGAAATTCAAATGCAAATAAATATAAAGAGTAAAACAAATGTAATTCAAACCAAATTGCCATTTAAACAACACTAAAAAAAATTAGGAAGTTTCCCATTATGGTAAACTAAACTTTTAATGCCAAGAAAACGAAAAACTTTTCACAAAGAATCTTTAAAGAATAAAATCAAATCTGAGCTTTATTAGCTAAAAATTGGAAACCAATCGGAAACAAAAATGGAAGAATATGTAAACTTATTTAGGACGACCTTCTAAACGAAAACATACTTAATTCTTCCGCCGACCAAACTATGTTCTTTGCAGAATTCAAAGCCGTTCTGCAGGTGCAAAAAATTGTTGTTCTTAGAAAAAGAATGCAATAGGGTACAAAGTGTTAACTTTGTGTGCACTTTGCGGTCTGTAAAAATTAAAACCTTCGAGTGGGGTGATCGTCGACTCCAAAAAAGCGGCGTAAGAAATTTGTAAAAGATGCTGTTTTCTGTAAAATCTTAAAACGCAAAAGCAGTACTGGCTCAAAGTTGAGGAAAAGGAAAAATATATGTTATTAAAAGAAAAGTGTATGCTATAAAAGTCTTCGCGTAATTGGGGTATAATACGTCTTAGAAACTATATAAACAAAATTAAGAAATTTAGAACCAGTTCCACACAAAGACCAAAAGAAGTGAAATCCAATATATATGTATGTAAGAAAAATAAAGAATATGTCAAAGATTAATTAGCAACGTAAATTTCCTTTCTCAAATTTAAAAATAGTACCTCTGTTTGCTCTGCGTCATTTCCAGAAAAATCTAATTCTGATGATATAAATGGAACTGAAAGTCAAAATTTAACCACTCACAGTTTAGCTGTACTTTGTGCACCTATTTTGCATAAATAGTTAATAATTGCGTAGTTTCCCTCTCTTTCGTCTCTTCGCCTGCGTGTTGACAGCTTGTCGCTCAGTCTCTGCTAGCTATTCGTCATTATACAAAATTTAATTGCATATCTAAAATTATGGGGCGTGTTTAGAAGCTCTAGTCTTCTACAGTTATGCATTAAGAAATTCGTCATTCAAGAATAAATGATGTTTAACTATCAAGCTGGTCGTGCTTCTACAAATTCCATGCGATCATCCACTACGCCGTCGCCGTAATGTCCAGTCATCCACGCAGCAGTTTTCCAGCCATGAATAACCAAAGTGAATTGTTTTCATCTCGTATATAAACGAAAAGCAAGAAATTTAGAACAAATTTTACACAAAGACTCAACAGAATGTTCGCATTCTGAAGGCTACTTTTAAGCCTTGCGCATGTAAATACATTTTATGATTTCACCAGCGTGTAATTTTTATCTGCGCTAAGAATATACAGAACTTAAATGTTTAATTAAAAACATTGAGGGAATTCCAAGTAAATTTGAAAGGCTATTTTCGGTTGCTTCAGCGCATAAAAAAAACCTAGTATTTCCTTTTAGGAGCATGACACAAAATTGCTGTTATAAAACGCAAAGGAGATCTGATTATTATTTTTTGAAATAATAGAATGATCAACTAAAATTACATTATTATTATGCATTACTTTTATTTTATCTATTTTTTTATTACATAAAGCTGAGTTTGTATTATCATACTAGTCTGGAAAGAGCTTTCTTCTGTGAATGGAAGAAAATTAAGACGATTTCCTTCAAGTTTTGATTTTTCAATTACGACCTTCTTTAAATATTTTAATAATGTACAACATAAATGCAAGAAGTAACAGTTTGTAAATCAGTAGAATTAGATTGAGAGCTGAAATATTTTCTTCTGATTCTTTTGCCAAAATTCAAAATCTATTTCTGATTTCAAAAATGTAATTTTTATTCATCAAACGTTTTTAAAATTGCTGTATTTTTCAGCATAATTATGCAACGTAGGGAACAGGGGTGCCCGGACGCGCTCCCCACCGACTATACACCTAAAGTGTAGCGCAGCTTAAATGGTATTCAAACTAAAACTTTAATACAATGAAGAATCGATTTCATGAACAAGTACTGAACACTTAAAATAAGAACTAAAATCATAAATGGGAATGAAAATAGAAAAATCATTAACGTTTTCGACTAAATAAATAATTTTTAATTTCGTAAATTTGCTTTGAAATCATTTTGCTGCCAGTACATACATTCTTTTAAAATAAAAAAAAAATTCACTTGCTTCTTAGATTCCATTCTTTTATTATTAAAAATAAATCATTATGCAGAGTTTGAATATTCATTATTTCTTCGATATCATATTTTTTTTTTTTTTTTTTTCCTGACGAATTTCAGACATATATTTAAGACTTCACTAACCTAACGCCAGGTTAATGACACCTAACCTCACGGCAGGACTTTCACTAACCTAACGATCATGGTTGAAACTTTTTCGTTTCTCTTCTCTTAACCCTCCTCATATGCAGAAATAAATCTTTTGAATATCACGTCTTGTTTAACTTTCCCAGAGTTAACTCATTTTTCTAATTTTCAATTGATGCAAGAATTCTGTTTTTTGAAAGTGTTACTAATAGATCATTCGAATGAAGATGTTCAAGTACTTTAATTAACTCAGAATATAAGAGTTGTTTAAAAAGTAGTGGCAACTCTCTATAATTCTGAAAAGACTTCATTACCCAAACTTTTACAATATAATTGCTTCAGTGTCTACCACCTTCTGATAAATTACTGGAAGTTATACTCCATCAATACTTTCACTTCGGCTGATGTCCTGCAGTGAGCTCCCTGTAGCACGGATAACTTCCTCTCTTCCATTGTAATTGATCCTTCATAGTGGTTCTTTTATTTTAGATGTAGGACCATAATCACACGAACTCATATCAGGTGAGTATGGGTGCACTAGTATCTCCTACTGTTACTGTCATAGGCGACGGTCGCGAATTTGATTATGCCACTGCCCACTGCTTTCAAAGATGCTGGAATTATTTGCATTTGAGAAAGCGATGCCACTTTTTAGTAACAAATCTCATCCTTCTCCATAATAACGAACGGTGTAACAATGCGAGTGATAAGAGGTACTGCAATACCTGGCATGCTAAATTGCTATGAGACTTTGATCTCCTTGCGAAAAGTGGAAGAATCATTGCGACATAATCACAGAAGACAGAATCTTGTGCTGAAGTCATGAAGTTAGGTCTATTGAGATATCAACAGAAGGGGGTGTACTGTTGGAACACGACACCTTTTAGTAAGATGGCAAGTGGAGTTAGATATAGCAGGCGATTATATTAAGAAACTGTAGATGTTTATACCTTTGGTAATAAAGTCCTTTTAAATTTATCCATGCGCAGCCATTACTTTTTCCACCTTGTTGTTAAACCCTATGTTCTCATTCTTCAATATATTTTTGCTTCATAGTATTTGAATTATGACAAATATTTTGTATTTATTTGTGTGTTACTTATTTCTAAACATTAGCAGCCGTTACAATTGCGTATTTTTTAAGGAATTAAATGAAGATTTCGGATTAAATGATATTTTACTATGGATTTCAAAAAAAACTTTTCATGCATATAATTTTAAATAATAAACTAAAATCATTAAATATTTTGATTAAAATTGATTAGTAGTTGTTACCATTGAATAGCAACGAATTAACGGCTAGCTTTTACAATTTACTTCACACTTAGAATTTTGTTTGTTTGTTTATTTAGATGTGGATCATCTTCACAGGTTTCGCTTTGGGGATGAATATTTACGGTTGCATAGTGCTCTTCCAAATAGCAGCATCAGAATCAGCTCCACCCCATCTCAGCGGATCTGCAAACGCTATCGTCTCTTTGTTTGGGAATGGTAAGACCAAAGACTGAGTCTGAAAAAATTCCACTATAGATATGGCGTACATTTCAGCATTTCCCATTTCAGGTTTTCTGGAGGTGGCAGCAAAAATCATGTGATTGCAAATTTTTGTTTTCTTCTGCAAATATTTGGAGTGAAAACATCAGAAATCGTACCATTTCAGTGTTTCACTGTGTTTGCCCCCTTCATTATAAATCGCTGCTGAGGAAACATCTGAGATCGGGATGGGTGGGTGGAGAGGCAAATAAACAAAGAGGTTGGAAGGATTGATAACATGTGCTTTATTGTGTATTATTATTCCATACATAACATAACATGAAGCTAGGCCAGACCCTCTGTAGTATCACTGGTGATAGAGGTATAGCTGAGCCTAGCTAATGTCAAGATAAATGACACCATTAAAATGAGAAATAAATAAATAAAAAATTGGTCTTTTTTTAGCCCAAAGAGCGTTAGCTCAGAAAGGCTTTTAGTCTCGAACGGGATTTTGCGTTGAATCACCGTAAAAGGCCGAAACACTTTTCAAATTGTTGCCACCAAATATTAACTCCCTGTATTATTTTAAAAGAAGTCAAATAAAGGAGAATGTGCATGAATGTAGATATGTTTCTTGCATTGTGAAAAAAACGACGGTACCTAGAGTCATCAAATTCCGAATAACATAGTCCTCCACCCAAACACGGGCAGTTGGAAGCCCGAATTAGGAATTTCGAATTTTTTTTATTGTCTATTTCTTATTTTGTAAAATTTTAAAGAATTTTTGATTAAAAAACTGAACAAATTCAAAGCGAGCAGTGGCAGCACTGTAGGGAATAAAACATCTTTATTTGCAACGCGCGAGACTATCTGTAGGATTTCTAAAGATATGTTATTTTTAAATATTTTAGCCTAATATGGCGTTAGCCCAAATGTTCTAGAAACTTGTATGTGTCTGTAAATGGGAAAAAAAAAGACCCATTTGGGCATGATAATAAAATCTGGAAGCTTTCAAACATTTTTTTAAAGAGTTATAGAAACTTAATTACTTTTTTTACAATGATAAATATTGTTTCTTTAATGTACAGTGCCTTTGTAGCTTTTCTTAAAAAAAGAGTAATTGGAGAGGTTCTTTTTAAATTTTACATAACAAGCATCAATCGAATCATCTACAAAATAATGACTTGAGAAAAAATAAAATTAGGGATCTTAATAAAGAGATCAATAAAATATTTTAATAAAACATTTGCTGAAATCTCGTGTAGTAACTATTGCATCAACCAAAGTAAGCCATATTCTGGCAACAAAATGTAAGCTATTTTCTGACTAGAAATTTATAAAAGGAACTTTCTTGGAAATATCAGATTATTTTTTTAACGATTTTAAGAGTAAGATTAAACTTATTATTGCAACTGAAAATCTACAATTATCAAACGTGATGCGGAGGATTTAGAAAATGAGTCAAAATATAAGCGAACAATGGTATAACGATATTAATAGATGCTATTTTTTCCTTCAGTTTGATGAATTGACAGACATAAGTGATCCAGCGCAACAGCGTCTTTCTTTTTATTAGGATGGCTTTTAAAAATTATGTATCTAAGGAAGAATTTTTGGGTATGTCTGCTTTGAAAGAAAAGACTTAAGATGTAGATATATTGACAAAGTATACAAGGATTATAGAGTCTGTTATCTGACAGTGACTTATTACTATGTCTTTGAAATTACGACAGACATAAGGGAAGGGTGTAAAACTCTGTTATTTATCTCAGATAAAAGATTAACAGAAGACATAGTTCGTACTTATAGAACCAGCCAGCATTTATGGCTTAGATCAAAACAAAAGAGAATTTATGGCTTAACTCAAAACGTAAGAGAATTTAAGTTAGACTAAGTTAATTGTAAGTTAGCCAAAAAGCTACACAGAGAAAATAAGCACAAGTTGACTCAAAAACCGAAAGTCGGCGTGGCAAGTTAAATGGAGAGAATAATGCAACGGCGCAGATAACCAACTCTTAAGAGAATCAAGTAGCAAACGTGGCCTTCAGCAAGCGGAACACGCTCTGATTCTATCATCTAAAATCTTCCTTTAAATGCTCTCTCTTTCTACCTCATTTGAATACGCGTAAACTAGAAATTTGCATTCTGGCCGGAAAATGGTAAGCGAGAAAGACGTAAAGGTAAAACCATTTTAACAATGCTGAAATACAAATAATGATCAATGATCAACAATGTTTTAAAAATGCTGTTGAAGATCTGGCTTTTACACGACTGGTAATTCTTTCTTTTTATAATGTGAATGCAGCTTAGTAATTATGTTTTCTACTATAATACCAACACACATACCTCCAGCGTAATGTTAGTTTTAAAGAAAAAGAATATAATATTTAAGAAGCTGATAACGCTCAGATTTTTTTTGTCTTCCGGTTATAAAATGGCAGCTCAACGCTGGACCCGGGTGATTTATTCGATTGAGAATAACCAATGTTTAAGACTTCAAGAACGAAAATTCTACATCCATTTCTGATTCTCAGAAAAGAAATGCAGAAACGTTTAATTAAATTAAAGTGTTTTAAACGTCCTCTTTACTAAATCATTGAAGTGACTAAGGTAAACATCTAAATAGACTCAACTAAACGTACTCAACTAAATCGCTTACTGGAGGAATTGAAGAGTTGCTTCGAACAAGGGAGAGATCCAACACCATATAGTGAATATCGCATTAATACTGGGAACAGTGTATCAGTTGTAGAACCTCCTTATAGAATGAAAAAGATAACTGCTGAAAAAGAATTCTCTTCTGGTTAGTAATATAACTGAAGAATGCGAATCTCCTTATGCCAATCCTGTTATATTGATACCTAGCATAAGAATTTGCTTCGACTACCGCAAAATAAATTCCACTACTATTGCAGACACTTATTCTTTACCACGCTTGGACCATCTTCTCAGAGAAGCTAAGTCCTTGGCCCACTGGTCAAACGAAGAAGTGATGCTTAAAAAAAAAAAAAAAAAAAAAAAAAAAAAAAAAATCATCTTGATTCTACTCAGCAAAATGATTTATTTCCATTCAGTGAAGTTTGAAGAGAATTGCCTTCATTCTGTGCAGCTCTGAGCGAATCCTCCTGATTCAATGAAGTTTTGAACAATGATCCTGATTTCATGCAGTTGGATGAATCATCCTGATTCAGTGAAGTTTGAATGGAATGACCCTGATTATATGCAATTTTAGACGAATGACCCTGATTCTATGCAGTTTTAGACGAATCACCTTGATTCAGCGGAGTTTTGAAGAATCATCCTGATTCTGTGCAGTTAAGTTTATCATTCCGATTCAGTGAAAGTTGAATGGAATCACCCTGATTCTCTACGGTTTTAAAGGAATCATCCCGATTCAGAGAAGTTTTCAAGAATCGTCAAGGTTCCACGCTGTTTTAATAGAGTCTTCGCGATTCTGAGCAGTTTCGCGGAGAGTTAAGAATAACGGTTGATATTACGCACGATCTAAGAGCGCTGATCGTCAACGACAAAAGGCTTCCTACAAAGCAGGTGACAGAGTATGAGTAACGCTACATCCTATTAGCAGATCACAAAATAAAAAAAATCGAAAATTCATGCCTAAACGTGAAGGACCTTATTTAGCGATCACCAATCGCTCACCCACTACGCATGGCATTGCCCACGCAGCTGAGCGAGATGAAGTCCTTGGGATCTACCACAGCTCAGCCTTACGAATTTATGAACTACCTGTTTCAATAGACACTGTGACTGTAACACTTTTCCGAAGAAGAGGCACACCAAAGAAAGCTATTGTTGGCTCTATGCCTAGACGTTGTACTGGTTAGAATGAGGAACCTATAACTCAACGGCTTTCAAGTGCATGGTCACAGAAAAACAAAGTTCAAAAAATGGTAAAGGCAATAGTAAGAATAAGTAAAAGAAAACGATTTTAGAATAAAAAATAGAATAACACTAACTGGAATAATATATAAGGATAAACAACGTTTTAGCGATGTTGAAATATATATATGGATAAACAACGTTTTAAAAAAGATTTTGAACAGGACACACAGTGAATGATAAGTGTCAATTATAGAACAGGAGTCCAGTGGATATTTTATCTCTGTATTTAGGATTTTACACAATTAGTAGTTCTTTCTTTTTGCTATGTGAATAATAAAATGTGAATGCAGCTTAGCAGTAAAGTTTTCGATTGTAATACCAACGCACATAACTTCAGTGTAATGTTAGTTTTAAAGGAGAAGAATAAAATATTTAAGAAGCTAACAAAGCTTACATTTATGGCGCCTTAGTTATATAATTAGAATGTAGAAAAATACCAGAAATTTTTTAAAAAAAGCGATTGATGATTTTGAGACCAGATTTCATAATTTTGAAAAAGTTATTGTGCAACATGTGTATGTTTCTTTCAAACGGATTTAAATGCCCCAAAATCACACATATTTCACACATATTGCCCAAAATCTTTCTGACACATTTAATATTGAAAACATACGTTAGAAAATGAAATTATTACTTTACAAATTGGATCAACACTACAGAATTACGATTTTTGGAAATATTTAAAATGAGAAATGCATCCCAATATAGCCAAATCTAGAGAATATATTTACTCTTGTTATGGACCTACAAACTTATGTAAATCAGACTTTCCATTTAAAATTCAGGAAGAATAAAAAATCGTTTCCTACTTAATGATTCTCATGCTTAAAATTCATTATTATTATCTTTGTCTGGATGCATGCTTAATTTCGGATAGCTGGTTGGAGATAAGCGGACGCAGATTTCCCATTAGTGAAAATGTATTAAAATAAAACTTAACCTCTATTTGTCTACGGCTACTTTTCAGTTAAATATTATTCATAAAATATGATGTTGGTTCAATATTCTTTCTCCATTTTCACTTATTAATGCACAAGAAGAAGAAGAAGAAGTAACAAGGTCATTGATTTCCACCACTTAAATCTCCAAACAACTCAGTTTATACATTATGATCACCTCTACGCTTTCCACTAAGATCCACAAAATTCGCTATCTTCCACTTCTGAGTGATAAAACTGTACTACATATATTATTTAAACTCTTGCATTTAGTGTTATTTTAGGTGTTAAGCATTTTGCTAGGATTTGATAAGCGCTTTTATACAGGCATGGGAACGATGGAAAATGTTTCCCATATGAATTAATGGTAAATGTTTCTTCTTTTTACATGGCTTCAGTTTATGATAAATATTTCACAAGAACTCTGTACTTTCATATCATGAGAGTGAAATTGTAATTATCATTTTCTGATGTTCTGGAAATTTTTAAATAACTGTTGATGAAATTTATGTATAGCCATCATCGAGAATTTGAAATAAGTTAAAATTAGGCAATAAAACATAGTAAAATATCGTTGACTTTGAGTGAATCTCTATTGATTATAAAGAGTATCGGAGATCGGGCGAATATTATTGACAAGTGAGAAAATGAACTGAAAGCTGAACTTATGGAGAATCCGAGCAACTTTGAAATTGTAAAATTTGTTCTTCGATTCCTAAAAATCCTATCTGTGATTTTAATTCTTTGAGAAATTACAATATTTCTTATCAGTGTGGGTTTATATCTGCCAAATTAAAATGGTCTTAAAATTACGTAACAAATAACACTAATCCTATTTTCGAAAGCTAGAAATAAACAATTTTCTATAACTAATGACAGGTAATTATTTAACTGCAGTTTTGGCTTTTGCGGATATTATCAACAAAGCTTCTTCAGTAGGCGACTCAGATTTCTTTAAAGCTTTTCAGATTCACAAAAATGTACCCTATTGAAGTTAATGAGATTAATTCCAAACTAGTTCTTCCTAACACTGAAAACTCTTACCTTTTCAAGTTTTATTACTCTTTTCTTCAACAGATGACTCTATGTTAATTTTCTTCAAAACCTGATCTTTTCTAAGGTTGTTTTTTTATCATCTAACTTTAAGTTTCACATTAGAGTGTTTCCATTCTAACTATACTTGAAATAAGATTTTAAATTTTGTTATTATATATTTTTCCTCAAAATAAATGTGAATAACGTGTTTAATTTTACCGACATGAAAATTTTTGTTATCATTTTCAGTTGGAGCGATAATATCAGGTTACCCCTTCAGTTTCATAGCAGAGTATTACGGATGGTCCAGCCTTTTCTTTGCTTTAGAAATTGCAGTGGCATTCATTATACCTATTATGCTCTGGAACAGGAATCTTAAATCAAAATATAGTATTGTGAAGAAAAATGTATAATTTTATTTATTAATAAATTATTCTTTTAGAGAAGTTGCTAACTTTTTCTTGTTTGTGCTATTCCAAAGCTTTTTTGGAAGATTTGTAATAATTAATTCTAAATTTTACATAGTCTTCACAAAATGTTGTATGTAAATATATTAAAATTCATAAAATACATTTCTTAAAAATTAACATGAATGAAATTATTTTAAAAATAACGGAAGAAAAAATAAGTTTATTAAATGACTCTAATATCATTGCCTTTATTATCCAGTTATTTTAGGGATAATTATAAGGATTATTAAACTGGATTCTATTTAATTATTGCTTGTTATTTTAAGGAGCTTTCTTAAAATTTCCTTCATATCTTTCTTTTTCTGAAATTTTTATTCTAGATCTACATGTGAAAGAAAGGATCTAAATTCAGACAGATAACTAGAAGATTGATACTTGCCGGGAGACTGAGAGATATAATGAGAAGTGCGGAGATTCTAGATTTTACCCGAAGGCTGGTATCTCTTAATATGTGTAAGGAGCATGGAACAATATGGATTAGCGATGGACAAAATCGCACTTTTATGCGATCAGATTAGAACTTTTCATTCACTGAACAGAATCAGTTCTTTTTTATAACTCACTGTTCACTAAAGATAAGCTTGAGAAAAAAGATCGGGATCGAAGAGTAAATCAAGAGCTATTAGGCAGGATGAAGAGCGAAAAGAATCGGACGAGCAATGGGATCCGAAACGGTTAGCGAGGAATGCGATCGGAAGAATCGAATCAAACAAACACTAATTCCCTGAAATGATTTCTTTCAGTTGTGGTTTTAATATATCCTAAAACCTCCTTTCTTCACAGAACTAACAATAAAGTTCTAGAATAAAAATTTTTTTTTGAAAAAGCCGGAAATAGATAAAAATTAAACTCGCGTTTATCACGGGACGATAAATATTTTTTTCTGTCGTGAAATGGGCTCACCAGCGGCCGAGCGGTAAAAGTTACCGAACACTGATAGTTCGGTTCCCGCGAATGGGCTGACTGCATGAGCGTTTTTGTGGTTTTGTCATGTGTATACGAGTCAGTCTTAGAAAGTCCTCTATAAGAAGTCATCAATCCCCTTAGGCAGATAGCCCTCGCGACTTTGCCGTAAATGTCATGAAACTAAACCATGAAACTATCGTGAAATAGGAATCGGACATTCTTGGCATGCTTCCAACAACAGCTCGCGGTAGGTGAACTCAAGAGTTCCTGCTCTTTTTTCTGCCAGTCAAGCATTCGCTCTTTAAACAAATAGCACATCTCTAATACACACACACGGTAGTCAGAAACGTTACCAGTAAATAATAAAGAAACAACGTTAGTGATTATGTAGGAGGAATTAAAGTTTAGTGGCACACTTCCAAAATGAGCTCTCAATAAGCTGTAAAAGAATTCCCCCTCCGTTTTGCGGAATAACTGTTCATTTGCTCCGTAAAGTGGATCAGTTCTTTGAATTAGTTCCGAAGCGAATCATCCATCTCTAACGTGGATAACACTACATTCAAGAACAAGAAAAGTGAGATTAGAGATTACAAGTACTAAATTTTACTATCCTAACTGAAATTGAAGAGCTAGGTTATCAATAAGTATTGACTTCGTTACGAATTTTCAAGAATGAAAAGAGCTTCAGAATGAAGTTGAATGGCATAAAAGCATTTTTAGAATTCATATCAGTCTGATGAGTAGCAGTATCTACTAAACAGTGGGAAGAAACTGATAAAAGAAGAAGGTAAAGAAATCCGATAGTTCACTTAATCGAAGCTAGACTTTCTGTCCGACAGATGTCTATTCTTCTAAGGCAATTTGGAATAAAATACAGACATTGCCAACTTTTGAGTATGATAAATAATGGAAATTTATGATGAAAAGATGACGAATTGCCAAAGAAAATGAGTAATTAGTGAACAGACTTTCGCGGAACCCCCCCCCCCCCCCCGAAAAAAAAATCGTGAAATGAAACGGTACTGTAGAATTTCAGTAATTATTTAGTGAAGGAAATATATAATTCATTTTTCTGGCCACGCAAACCAATCTCCTTGACAAAGAAAAGTGAGAACTCTTAATTCAGGAACTTCATTCATCTTTGTACATGCTGCCAAGAGATTTATTTGGTTCATCACTGCAATTTGCAATGCTAAAGAATTATTGTCGATGCTTTGCATTATTCCTTATTGACAAATAGAAGTTGGATGGGAAATGTTCCATTTGTTGTCTTTTGCGTTTTCATTAGGGGATAATGTAGGTCGCTGACTTCATTTCTAAAAGAACACTTTTCATTATAATTCGCGCATCAGCTGTTGTTCCGTGGACACAGAACTATGGGACATACCAAAAGATGTCATCTTCCATTTTTGAACTGAGTTATTTTCTTAAAAATAGTTTTAAGTATTTTAAGACGCAAATGTTTCCGAGGTGTAAATTTAAAACGTAAATATTCAAAACGATTGTTTTATCTCTGATTCTTCATGATTTTTCAGAATTATAAAAATTTTTACTGTACTTAAAATAATATCTATTTATTTAAACAATTTCCTTTGCGCAAAAATCGTATGCCTCGAACATTGCATAGAATGCTAAATAGTTTTGAAAGCTTTCATGTAGTTAAAGCCATGAGAATTAGTTATTAATTAAAAATAAATGTCTTAATTAAAAAATTAAATTTATAGAGTTTCTTCACTCTCCTTTTTTTACCCTTCTTTTTAAGTTTTACAGCAAAAACTCATATGCGAACAAGATTTATTCTTATTTCATATATTCATTAAATTTAAATATATTTTTGAGCTTGGATGCAAAGAAAAGTAATTCATTTTCGCAGATGGCAATAGTTTTTCATTTTTGCTTCCTTGTACGAAGTAAAGCAAAAATGTTCGGATATCTTATTTCAATGAAAATATCCAGTTTGATGGCTCTTGAATCCATTTAAACGATTTCTTTTCGATTTTCTTCTTTCTTTACAGACAGGATAAAGTACCCTTTTTTTCCCAAAACGGATATTTTTTTTCCATATATTTTTAATGAAATTCGAGAAAATAAGTTTAAATGAAGTGCAGCAAAAATGTGTATATGAGGGCAATCCCCCCCCAAAAAGGTCTCCTATTTTTTGGGGATGTAGAGAAAGTTTTAATACGGTTGTTGGCAACACTGTTGTAAGTGGTGCCTTCTCCGTTACCACATAAGCACGCAGGCGCTTCGTTCGGATGCTCAGCCTTGGCTTGGCAGCCATTCGAAATGGAGCTTGGTCCGGCGATTTCTAAATGGACTGTAACTCTCAATTAAACTAATTAACAAACTACTTTGTAACATATCTTTACCTTTATTATACTAATTTTTGGAAGACGCTCAGGCTCCTACAATCACTCTCTGCTTCGCCATTGAAGCCAACTCCAAAAGTAATTCACATTCTTTTTGTAAACAGTAACGATGGCAGGGCCATCTGGCTTCAGAGGGACTTAACAGTGCCTTCTCCGTTACCACATAAGCACGCAGGCGCTTCGTTCGGATGCTCAGCCTTGGCTTGGCAGCCATTCGAAATGGAGCTCCCGATAAACGTTACCGCCAAGTGCGAAGTGCGCGCAGTTATTCGATTTTTGAACGCAAATGGCGTTAAACCGGTTGAAATTCACCGCCTATTGACAGAAGTGTATGGACAGTCGTGCATGGATGTCAAAAACGTTCGCAAGTGGTGTAGAGAGTTTACAGCCAGTCGTACTGAAATTCATGACGAAGAAAGGAGCGGGAGGCCGTCGATTGCCGACGAGACTTCGCGATTGTTGAGTTCGTATTCGTTGAGTTTCGCGATTGTTGAGTTTGTAAAATGCGTAAAGATCGGAGGATCATCTGGATGCTCCTGAAGCTCCTCAACGCTTCCTGAAGGGCATGGCGGCAAGCTGGTATGACATGGGCATTGTAAAACTGCCACAGCGTCTACAATGCATCGACCGAAATGGCGATTATGTTGAAAAATAAAGCATTCTTCAATCTTTAAAGTGATGTAGCAATTATAGAAAATAAACGGTTCTTTGTATATCTAAAAATATAGGAGACCTTTTTTTTTGGGATTGCCCTCGTAATTTAATAGGCCGCACAAGGAAGTCATGTGGTATCTACATCAGATACTTTATTTAATTCACAACTTTGAATCAAAGTTTCTTCATGGAGATTTCAGTTTTTTTTTTTTTTTCACTTTTATATTTCAGTTCAAGAATTTATTGTTTTTACTGCAGTTTTGTTAATTTAAAACAATTTTTAGGGAAATGAAAGGGTTCAACTTACATGCGTAGCTTTTTCTAATGTTAATAACAAAACTAAGTCCTTTAGAGGTTCTAATAATATTCGTAGATAAATTTGCAACCTTTGCAGAAGTTAAGAATTTTAATTACAAACTGTATGTGAAGAGAATATTCTTAGAGAATAATAAATAGAAATGGGAAACTTTGGAGCGTGCCTTAATCGAAATTATGCTTATGTTAACAAGCCTCTCATCGAGGTAGCGATTTCGAGTTTCTTTTTACATAGAAAATGTTTAACATTATCTGAAGTTTCAGTAAATCAGTGGGTGAAAATAACTGATCACGCGGTGAAGGAGAGAAGTCGTAAAATTGTATTTTCAGCTACATGTTCGGTTAGTTTGAAATTTCCTACAAAAGTTTGAAATTTCAGAGCACTAACTAGATGCAATAGTCGCTATTGCATATTGTTAGTGTTCCTTATGCTGCAGCTTGCAGATGTTCTCTTTAAAACTAATCAGATACCAGTCAAGATAACTATTTAAAATGAAACGGAATAAGAACGAATTATTATTATAACTATTGCTTGTTAATAGTTCTAAAATATGCAATTATTGACATTAAAAGTTGTCACATAGTAATACTAAGGCCAAAAGATTTTTGAATTCTGTTGAACGTTGACCGAAGGTTCGAAATTAGGTCCTTTTCTAATCCAGACGACTGGTTTAACTTAGTCTAGCTATTTGGTTTGTATCGGGACTGGTCTGAGTTGCTGGCATCCTG